TAGTACATCAGACCTAGTGATCCATCTGGTAGCTCTTCGCTGAACAGCCTCCAATTTGTCAATGTTACGTTTAGTATAAGGGTTCCAAGTTTCACATGAATATTCCAATAAGGGTCTCACAAGACTACAATAAAGTGTTCTCATGGTTTCAACATCATTTAAGTCCCTACAAGTCCTTTTTACCAACCCTAAAACCCTATTGGCCTTAGCAGTTATTCTATCTATATGCTGGTTCCATGAGAGACCACTAGCAGTAAACAATCCTAAATCTTTATAAAAATTAACACATTCCAAAGGTTGACCCTCAATGTTATACTGCCTTTTTCCTGGTTATTCGCATGATCTTACATTTCTTAGTATTAATTGTCATCATCATATCATGTATGAAAAAAATATGAAATGAATTAAGAAGTACATAGAGCACAGCCCCTACAGCCATCATCTAATAGGGAGCTGAGGTCACGCTTACGTATGCGGTTTTTGAAACTAGCTAATGTTGTGGCTGATCTGTCATAAGTTGTCAGTTTATTCCATAATTTAGGTCCTAAATAGCGTAGTGAATTTTTGCCGCAAGTTATTGTGTTGTATCTAGGAATAGAAAAGTCTGCCTGTCTTAAATTATAGGAAGCGTTGTGTTTCTGAAATATATTACAAATATTCAAAGGGCTAAGGTCGTGTTTAACTTTGTACATTAAAATGCATATATCCTGTAAGCATCTGTTTAGTGGCGAAGGTAAATTAGCTTTCTGCAGCAAACGTTCATAGGTGGAGTGTTTATCTTTGAATACAGCCCTTAGGTCTCTTTCTTGAACTCTCTCCAATCTGCGACTATCACTAGATTTACAAAAATTCCATGACCAGCTAATTCGCCTGGGAAGAGTATCGTAACTAAAGAATAACTATATAACTAAAGAAATTTGCCCCAGATGTGGAAGGCAGTTCGAGTGTTACTCACACGGTGTCTTTCATAGCAGTGAAGGTGGATCGTTACAGGTTTATTCAAACGACAGCGTTTTTTTGCAACAGTTGACTGGTGGAGGAGTTTTAGTTAGGAACTTTAGCTGAGGACACACATGGCAACGAAAAAGCGAGCAGCGCTGCATATGTTGGACGGAATCTTATTATCTAAAACATTAAGTTCTTGTTATTGTTGCTGCCGTTGTTATCAGTCGTATGACGTTAATGGACTGATTAGCTTTGATTTGAAGATACTGTAACACCAAAATAACAATGTTTAGCTGAGGAGAGATGCGACGCGTATGTTGCGTCATTAAAGAAAATCTGTTAAAGGGATTCTGGTTGCAAAGAAAAAAAAACTTCTGGCCTGCAATTCAAATCAGCAGTTTTATTTGCCAGTTGTTAGAGTTGATAAAAAAATTCAGCCCAAAGTGTGGAAAAGATGCTAGTTGTGAGCCATGATAATCACTGTTCACGCCAGTTCCCTCTCCACACTATTTCGCATCCATGCCATTCCTTATCTTTTAGTCGGTATCATTTGCGGTTCGGTGTGGGGATCATTTGCGGTCCAAGATCATTTGCGGTCCGGGATCATTTGTGGTCCTGGGATCATTTGCGGACCCGTACAGCGCGCTCTAGAAAGCCATTTCAAAGCCAACTGTCAGAAGTGTCATTATGTTAGCGAATAGAAAGAAAATTTTATTTGTACCTTGTGCTTGATTTTACATTAATTTTCGAACTTTTTAAACAAGCTGCACACTATTTAAGGATAATAGTGGTATTTCACTGGATTTACAATCCGTTTATCGTTAACATCTTTTTTCAAAATTCAAAATAATTTGCTCTAGAAGGAAAATAATTTACACCTTTTACCTCTTTGCTGGCAAAATGAGAGAAATGAAGTGTGCTAGCGAAAGCACTGTTTTCAAGTCCAATAACATCGCGATTGATATAAGGTAAGTGCCTCGAAGTGTAAATACGTGTATTGATCGATTCTTTATTCCTTTAAAAACAAGAAGTGTTTCATGAAAAGTCCAAAAACTTTTATCTTTTTATTTGTAGAAATTCAGTACAGGCGACTGCCATTAGCTGAATCGTTGGGATGAGCATTCGACTGAAAGTTGATGGAAATATTCACTGG